CTATTGCCCTTTGGATGTGCTGACCCCTGTGATTTCCCCAAATGTGGGAAAATCAACTGCCTATGTGGAGGACTGTGTTTGTGGTTTCCCATGGTCTTTCTAGAATCTCTCTCCCTGCATATTAGCTATGCTAATATCTGTGCACTGGGGGATTGTGGGAGGAACATCCAGCTCCTGATTGTGGGAGAAACATCCAACCCCTGTGGGGCACCCCAAAACACTGAGTAGGTCTATTGGCCTCTTTTGGGACTTGGGCTGTGCAGCCCTGTTCTGATCAGGAGGTGCAGCCAGGGGTGCACCATGCCTTTGGGGGACAGGGCACAGAAAAGGGCAGGAGGTTCAGGGGCCATTCCAACTCATACCTGGCAGGGGAGATACCATGATCATCAAAGTGGTTTTCCCAGGGTGAGGCTCATCTATTGCACTTTGGATGTGCTGACCCCTGTGATTTCCCCAAATGTGGGCAAATCAACTGCCTATGTGGAGGACTGTGTTTGTGGTTTCCCATGGTTTTTCTAGAATCTCTCTTTCCCTTTGTTCCTTGGCTGTTTTCACTGCCTGCTGCCATAGGCCTGTTGGCCTTGCTGATTTTCCAGGTGGGCTCCAGGAAGCAGATCCTGGAAAGCCAGCAATGCAGAATGGTGAGGTCCAAACAGCAAGCAGTCTCTGGTGCCAATTCAGAAGCCTCCCAGCATGGCAGTGAGAGGCTTCTTGGTGGTGGTGTTGGAATCCTTTTTTTTACTGTATTCGCTCCATAAGACACACATACTTTCTCCCCCATTATTTGTGGGGGGAAGTGCGTCTTATGGAGCGAAAAATACGGTACTACTTTCACCGGACTGCAAGCCTTGACTCATAAAACCAGAATTAAAAAGGCATCAATAACTAATGACAATTGGTGGATTGCATTGCATTCAAAAGTAACCAGTAAAAGATTTCGTTATGATTGTATTATGATACACACTTGATTTTTTTCCTAGCCAGTCTTACAAATTGCTTTCTGTTTGACAGTAGGAGGTGGAAGTAATTTTAAGGCATTTTCCACATAGTTCTATTTTTAATCCAAAATATGGCCCTGCAATGTCTTTTTCTGATAAGTAGGGAAATTAACAAAAGAAGCCTAGACATGTTTGTCTTAAAACAGCCTTTGATGAAAAGATTTTTCTGCCCTCTGCGCCATTTGAAATATTTAAATTTCTAATATATTTTTTATGGTGCTTTATATGTTGAATTTATTTTGTACTTGTAATTATGTTTTTGGTTTGATTTTGTTGTGAACTACCCAGAATAGTCTGGCTACATGGGTAGCATACGAAAGAAAGAAAGAAAGAAAGAAAGAAAGAAAGAAAGAAAGAAACTTTTGAATATATATGGATAAATATATGAGGTGGGGTGAAATAGAGTTGAGGGTTCGGCTGGGGTACAGACTGGTGGGGGTGGTGTCTCCCCCCCTCCCAGAGCTCGCGCCAAACATTAGTGAGACGCGGGAAAATGGGAGGGAGGAAAAGAGTTTATATGTAGGTAAGAAGGATAGGGATAGGAAATTAAAGATAGGTGAATTGATATTTTTAGTTGAGTTTGTTTTTGTTTTTGTTACATGCGATGCAGAAACTTTTAACTTGGTAAAGTTTATATGAGGTTTGAAAAATTATAGTACTATAGAAATATATCAGAAATATATCATTAGAGCTTCACCATATGTTATGGGATGGAGCTCTGCAATCCTGTGATGTAACACTTCTAAAATGCAAAGCTATCCATGTTTATATAAGCGTAAGTCCCTTGTAGTCAATGGTGCTTACTCACAGGGTGTTTATATAGGAAGACAGGCTTGATAAATGATTATTCATTAATCTTTCTGGATTTTTAACGGATGAATTAGCAGTATGAGTACATAATTCATTCATTGGTTAAGCATAACATTCAGAATGCCTCCACCTATCTTTAATTGAATTCAGTTATGTCATTTATCAGGTTCCTTAGGTGATCTTCGTTAAGATACTGGTTAGATCCTGATCATCTGAGGCTTCAGCAAAGTCCCCAGACTCTGTTTTTGATTCCCAGGGTCCCCAAACTGGGAACATTGAGAAACACTGCCATGATAGATGTGACCAGTCACAGGATACTCTATAAAACAAACTGGTGAATTGAATACAAAAGTAGGTTTTCTAAGAAAAGCATACAACAGAGATGGGGTTTGAGCTTTAAAAAACACTACTCTTCAGGGAGGCTTTGCAGTCCAACCTTGTCTGAGTACCTCCCATCTGGTTCTCTTTATTGTGAAAAGTTGTTGCTTCTGTTGGCTTTTATGGTTTTGATTTGTCATTGCTGTTTCTGTTACATTTTAGTGTCCATAGTTTGTTTGTCCTGTTTTGTAATTGTCTGTAAACCGCCCAGAATAGTGCCTTGGGACTAATGGGGTGGTATATAAATCCGCCGATCAGCTGTTCGGCGGCTCCAAAATGGCCGCCGGAGCCCCAATCGTCGCAAAGCGAGTGGCCGCCGGACGCGAAAACATCGCTGGAGGGGTAAGTTTGCACACTTATTGGAACGCATTAAACTAAGTTTAATGCGTTCCAATAGGTTTTACTTACCCGCACAGCGATGTTTTCGTATAGCGAAGGTTAATCCGGAACGGATTAACCTCGCTATACGGGGCACCACTGTATATAAATATAAATAAACTCACGAAAAAAGGAACCTTCCAAAGTTCATCTCCACTGCATTTAGCTCTGCCATTGAAGAGCAGCAGGTGGCTTGCCTGCTGGGGGTGCCCAATGCCACCTCCCATTCCGGCACTGGTGGCTGCGTGCCAGGGTGGCTGCGTCAGGCCTCGGTGTCAGGGCTCCCATGGGCCTCGCCATCGAAGCACCTTGACAGCTACCACATGGAGGGCAAGAGGCTCTGCCAGGCCTGACTGGCCGACGTGGCGGCACCGCCAAAGGAAGTTGAATGGCTGTGTGAGTGCCGCTGCCACCCGACTGGCTGCTCTGGGAACGGGGACAGGCCGTGGGGTGGCGTTGGCGTCCTGGCACCAGAAGGCTGCCGTCATGGCCACACCTGCCCCTCTCCGCCACGATCTACCTCCCCAGGCACTGGAAGGGGAGGCTCCTCCTGGCTAGGGCGCTCCAGCCACTTGCTCTGGCCTTGCCCTCTGCCATGGCCGGCCCTGCCACTGCCGCCTTGGCTGCCATACGCCACTGGCTGGGCCCATTGACCGCTGCCATCTGCTGTGGCTCAGTTGCAGCCAGGCCGGAGAAGGGGGTGATTAGGCAGCCAGGACCCCCCCTCTGGGCAGAAGAGGAGAAGGAGGAGGAGAGAAGGGAGTTAGGGTCACGTCCTCATTACCCCCAGGATTTTCATTTTTACCCCATTTGGGGTAATTTACCCATTTCCTGACCACTGGTATACACTTTATGAGTTACTAAATTTAGGTATACACTTTAAAAATTTGCACTCCTATTTATAGCTGCTTTTCTGAGGGTAGCTTACTTTGGAGGAAACAAGCTCAGGATTTCAATGTACTTAATAAGCTTTATAAATAGGGTGCATTTAATTCAGTGTAGCATTTTGCACTTGACTTTTTTCTAAAAGAGCTGTCAGTTGGAGGAATCAATAAAGAACCAGACAGACAAAATGTGTAAATGACAGGAGTTGGTTTTTCTAAACTAAAACCTCAGTATTCAGGTTTAATTGCAGTGTTGGCACTTCAAAATAAATATTTTGGTTTTGTGTTACCATTTGGGCATGGGCTCAAAAAGGTTCGCCATCACTGCTGTAGTCTATGTGTGTCTAGAAATCCATTGGAATATTTGCTACTCTTTTTACTGCAGTAGACTGGGTGAAATATTGTTGCGCAGCTTTATGCTGTATAAGGCTGACAGAGTCATAAGGTCTTTTTCATGAATTAAAATTTTCCAGTATTTCTGCATCACCACCAAAGGTTCCAAGGCTTTCTTTCATATTGGGGAAGATGTTGGAGGCCCCAGGACTTGAAGTGGGGGAGTCTTTAGTTTTTGAAAGCTGCTGCCTCTGGAATGAATTATGGCTGCCACTGCTGGGATGGTTGCTATGGCAATTTTCAGAAATTAAAGACTTCAACTCCCTTGTCCTATTACAGTGATGCCTCGCATGACGACGTTAATTCGTTCCGCGAAAATCGCTGTAAAACGAAAATGTCGTCATGCGATTTTAAAAAGCCCATAGAAACGCATTAAAACTCGATTAATGCGTTCATAGGGGCTTCAAACTCCCCGTCCATTGAAGATCCTCCATACCGCGGCCATTTTCGCTGCCCGTGCAGCGAGAAATCCGTCCCAAAAAACAGCGGGCGGCCATTTTTTTCCCCTGGCGGCCATTTTGCAACCGCCGATCAGCTGTGTGAATATCATCGCTTTGTGATGATCGGTTACCGAAACAGGGGACCGATCATTGCAAAGCACAATTCCCCCATAGGGAACATCGTTTTGCGATCGCCAAAACATCAATGTAAAGCGATTTCTTCGTCAAACAGAGCGCTCGTAATGCGAGGCACCACTGTACTCCAAAAGCTTCCGTGGAGCAAAGGATTTCACAGGATCTTCAGAAGCTTTGGCAATGTGTGGGGGGCGGTTTCAAAATTTTTAATTTATGAAAAAGCGTTGCAGCTGGTATAAAGTTGCATTACAGGAATCCAGCCATTTGGACCAAATTACCACATGATCAGTGTTGGGAGATGCCCCACTAAAACCAGAACATTTTTACCATTAACTTAAAATGATATGAAAAAATGCTATGAATGATATGAAAAAATATTAACTGATGTGAGTACTTATTACAGGTGTACACATAGGATGTAGTGCAGAGAAAGTACATGTGCGGCTGTGTCCTTTGATTTTGTTGTTGTTGTTGTTTCTACAGGATTAAATCCAGACCATAATTTGTGTCAAAATTGTGTTACAATGGTGTGTATGATACATAAGTAAGTTTTTTAACTTATTTGCTTCTGTTTTCTCTCTTAGAGAGCTCAAGCAGCATTGCAAGCAGTGACTGCTGTGCAGTCTGGAGGCCTGGCCCTTACAGGTGCTCCAGCTACTGAGGGTGGACTACCTCCTGGTCAGAGTTCAGTTCTCCGAATTATAGTTGAAAATCTCTTCTATCCTGTAACTCTAGAAGTGCTATATCAGGTAAGAAGCTTTTCTTTAAAAAACAACAACACATTTTTTGCATTTCATGTGACCACCTGTTTAGGATTGTTTTATAGAGAGGACAGTCAAACAGTCATCACAGTACTGAGAAATTGGCTGTTGGGTGCTGCGTATTCACTCAAGATGCATTCTCTTCTGCTCCTCTTTTCCTACATGGGCTCTGTGTTAGGCAGTTGTAAATAAAGGCACACATTTTTAAAAATAAGTCAAAATGCAGAAAACTGATAGTTATAGCTGAATGGAAACACTTAGAATTAGAACTAATGACTTTTACTGTATTTTTTGCTCCATAAGAGGCACCGGACCTTAAGACGCACTTAATTTTTAGAGGAGGAACGCAGGGAAAATATATTCTGAACCAAAGAGTGTAATAAAATATTTAATAAACTATAACAGAATAACATTTGAACCATGTAAAGTGAACAGCAGTCAACAGTGGCATTAATATAGATCATTATCAGCCAGTGATAAGACCTATACCACTCTACCTATATTTTACATTTCCTTTCATCCACCTCCTCCCCATGCTTATAGAAATGTCTCAATGACAGATGAGATTGTTGTGCAACTGTGCCCAGCTACAGCTCAAGCTTATACAGTATTAAGTTAGAAATGGTTTGTCTGATTTGGCACTGCATTGAGAGGTCCCTTTTGGTTGTGTGGAGGATAAATAGTGGAATGAAACTATTTAACAGCTGGTTTTCCTTATTTACTTTAGGTTATGCAAAAGAACAGCAACACAAAGCTTAAACCGATCCCATTCACCAGCAGTAGCACATGCTCAGCATAAGACCAAATCTCCATTTTCTGACATAATTGAACATTTATAGCATGCAAGGCACAACAGGTTAGGCCACACAAAGCCATGAACAATGTTCTTGAAGAGCCAAAAAAACTGAATACAACCTATAGTAGCTGAAATCAGGAAACAGGTACTGTAATCCAGTTAGAAGTCATGAGGCACAGTTAGTTTCCTTGCTGCAACACCCTTTGGAAATACATTCTCTATTAGATGCCCAGAACTAGTTGAAAAGTTTGCAAGTCGAATCCAAATTTCCCATAGAAATGCATTGAAAATTAACGCATTTTTTATGGGGAGAAAAAAGGTCAGAAACTTTAAAAAACTTAAAAGAAAGTCACTTTTACCATTATTGTAAAAGTGGTTTTCCCAGGGTAAGGCTCATCTATTGCACTCTGGGTGTGCTGACCCCTGTGATTTCCCCAAATGTGGGAAAATCAACTGCCTATGTGGGGGACTGTGTGGTTTTCCCTGGTCTTTCTAGAATTACTCTTTCCCCTTTGGTCCTTGGCTGTTTTCATTGCCTGCTGCCATAGGCCTGTTAGCCTTGCTGGTTTTCCAGGTGGGCTGCAAGAAGCAGATCCTGGAAAGCCAGCCGTGCAGAATGGTGAGGTCCAAACAGCAAGCAGTCTTTGGTGCCAGTTCAGAGGCCTCCCAGCATGGCAGTGGGAGGCTTCTGGGTGGTGGTGTTGGAACCTTTTTTTACTGTATTTGCTCCATAAGACGCACATACTTCCCCCCCACTTTTGGGGGGGTGGAAAAATGCGTCTTGTGGAGCAAAATATATAGTATTTGATTATATATTTAGTGTACAGTTTAGTGCAAATTTAGTGTGAGAATTGTATTTACATATTTAATTAAACGTGCTGTTCTCAGTGTTATAGTGCACTTTACATGTATGCACATATATTATATATATTAAAGCATTTCTTTAGTCAAGCTGTTGCTGGATCCTTGCCTCTCCTGGCTCATAAAAGTTTCCAGGAAGGGACTGGTCGATTGGGTAGGAGGACCCTAATTATATTTCAGCTGGATGACTGTAACTCGCTCTTTGTGCAGGGATCCTTGCAACAGGGCGGGGATCCTTGCAACAGGGCGGGATCCCTGCATGCTTAAACGAAGCAAAAGCAAGACCATTGCTAAAGAAGCCCTTTTTGGATCCCACAATGCTGAATAATTACCAACCAGTATCTGCTATCCCATTCTTGGGGAAAGTGCTAGACTGGGTTGTGGTTTTTGGATGATTCCAGAGGTTTTTGGATGAGACAGATTATCTAGATCCATTTCTATCTGGCTTCAGACCTGGTTATGGAACAGAAGTGGCTTTGGTTGCCTTGGTGGATGATCTACATTAGGAACTGGATAGGGGAATCTGTGTCCCTGTTGGTTTTGCTGAACCTTTCAGTGCACCCAACTCTCTGGAATGGAATTTAGGGGTGATGTTTTATGATGGCTGCACTCCTTCCTGGAGGCAAGAACTCAGAAGGTGGCGGCAGGGGATTCCTATTTGACACCCTGGCCACTGACCTGTGGGATCCCTCAGGATTCTGTTTTGTCTTCTGTGTTACATCTAAATGAAACCACTGGGAGAGATTATCTGGAGTTTTGGGATTTGGTGTCATCAGTATGTGGATGACACTCAACTCTACGTCTCTTTGCCACCTAAATCCAAGGAAAATGTTTTGGCTTTAAATCAGTGTTTGATATCAAGAATGGACTGGATTAGGGTGAATAAATGGAAGCTTAACCCAGACGAGACAGAGGTGCTTCTGGTCAATTGAAAGGCAGATCAAGGAATAGGGATACAGCCTGTACTGGATGGGATTATACTCCCACTTTAAAAAGCAGGTGCACAGTTTGGGGTGCTCCTGGATTCATCCTTGAACTTGGATGCCCAGGTCTTGGAGGGGGCCAGATGTGTATTTGCACAATTAAAACTAGTGTACTGTCTATTTCGATGTCTTGACAGATCTGAGCTGGCTTCTGTCATACACACCCTAATTATATTTCCGTTGGATGACTGTAACACGCTCTTTGTGATGGCTGGTGATGGAAAGTGTCAGGAAATCTCAGCAGTTCCAAAATGCAGCAGTCAGATTGCTGACTGGGGCTGGTTACAGTGATCACATAACCCCCCTGTTACAGGAGCTCTACTGGCTGCTGAGCTGTTTCCGGGCACAATTCAAAAGTACTGGTTTTAACCTATAAAGCCCTAAATGTCTTGGGTTCAAGCTATCTCAAAGACCGTATCTCCCATTATGAGCTGGCTTGGCTGTTAAGATCATCAGGAGAGGCCTTTCCCTTGGTCCCACCAGCTTCACAGGTGTGTTTGGTGGGGACATGGGAAAGGGCCACCTCTGTCTCTGCTCCAAGACTTTGGAACTCCCTCCCAAAGGAGGCCAGACTGGTTCCATCTTTGCTGTCCTTCCGTAAGCAGGCACAGACATTTTTCTTTAGGCAAGCCTTCCCTGTATCATTAGCTGCCTGTGTGTGATTTTTAGATGGCTTGTTATGCATTACTGCTTTGACTGGATTTTTAGTACTACTTGTGTTTTTCATGTTTGGGTACTCCATTTATCAGAGTGACATTTGGTTTTTGTGTGTGTGTGTGTGTGTGTACTTATTGTTCTTAGCATTAATATTGCCTTTTAATGATGTAAGATGCCTCTTTCTATTAATTCTTCTTAGCTTTAAATATTGTCTTTTAATTATGTTAACCACTGTTGCATGCTCATTGTTTTCAACTTTAAATATTTTCTTTCAATGTTGTAATTTTGGGTCCTTTTCATGGAGAAAGGTGAGGTAAAATATTTTAAATAAATATAACCAATTTAAAATAAATCCAGTTCTCTGGCCCAAGTTATCTTACTTAGTTACACCAGTTTAATGCAAATAGTGTTCTTTGGAGGAGAAATGCCTCAAGTAAAGAAACTACAGTAGATAGTATCTGTTGTATAATGAATACAATAGATAAGATATGCAGTGATTTCTTAACTTTATTTATTTATTTTAAATGTTTCTATCCCACCTTTCTCCTTTAAAGGACTCAAGGGGCTTACATTTTAAAAATCAGCATTTAAAACCTAAAAACAATTAGTATACCAATATTAAAATAGCTTTGAACAAGTATTACCATATTTTTCAGCGTAAAAGACTATACTTTTTCCTAAAATTGTTAGAGTAAACATTGAGGGGGCGTCTTTTACACAGAAGTAAGCTGAGGAGAAAACTGTGCGGTTGCGAAACTGCCTATGTCTCTGCAAACCATCTGCCTCCAGTCACAAGTGAAACTGCGGATAGCTTGTCTCTGCAAACAGGCTTCCTCCAATCGCAAGTCTTATGCAGATGATGTAAGCTGATGCTGAGGAGTGTGTAGGCCAGCGATGGCAAACCTATGGCACATGTGCCACAGCTGACACACAGAGCCTTCTCTGTGGGCACGCAAGCCATAAGTCACCAGATCACGACTCCCGGCAGCTGAACCTTGAACCTCCAGGATCTGGAGCAGCTGGTGCTGGCTGCGGCAGGCTGGCCGTATTCCTATAGACAGTGGTGTGGTTGGTCTCGACTGGAGGCAGATTTGGAGTGGGGTCTGGAGGCACCTCCATGCCTAGGATTATCCCTTCTGCTTCTGCCACCCCTGCCCGCTGTTTTTTTGTTTTGTTTTGTTTTTGTTTTTCCAGTTTGGGCAGTCGGGCTCAGCCATCACTGGTGTAGGCAGTGACAAGGGTGGTAAGGGTGATGCATAATATCGTAGCACTGGCATGTAAATGTTGCCTAATAACTAAATACAAATGTGTTCCTTTCTAATGTTTAAAATACTGATTTCTGAATTTTGGGTTAGAAAATTAGGCAGTGTCCGATACATGGGGGCATCTTATACACAGAAAAATACGGTATATTAAAATAAAATCAGTATTAAAACACATTTAAAACATCAGAGCACAATCCATTTAAAAACTCTCTCATACCATCTGTCATTAAGGCAAAGCCTGCCTAAGGAGAAAGGTCTTTGCCTGCTTGCAGAAAGACAGCAATGATGCAGCCAGCCTAGCTTCCCATGGGAGGGAGTTCCAGAGTCTGCAAGCAGTGACAGAAAAGGCTGTCTCCTGTGTCCCCACCAAGTGATGCTCTTAATGCATAGGCAGGCTCATAGAGGCAGATGCAGTCTTTTAGATAGTTTGGTCCCAAGTCATTTAGGGCTTTACAAGTTAAAACCAGCACTTGGAGCAGTTCACCTGGAAGACTTGTTCTGCTTGTGTTATGTGGACACATCTATGCAGGAGGATTTTCACTAATGTTAATATAGCCATCAGCAGCAAATACATTAAGAGTGAAAGGATATGAGTTTTTAAAATCTTTTTAAAAGCAGCCAGAGTTGGCTTTAGTCATATGTCTCTCATGAGGGAGTTTAAAAAAAGAATATAAGTCACTACTGAGAAGGCCCTAACTGTAATGTTCACCAAATGTCCTGACCTTTGTGATGGGCCAGTGAGCAGGACCATTTCCAGTTCCTCTCTGGAAATACGCAGGCAACATAGCATAGCAGGTATAGATTGTCTAGCCTCAGCTGGGACATAAACTGACTCATCTCTAGCTTCTGAAGTTTCTGAGTCATCTTCAAAGGCAACCTCAGGTACAGCACATTACAGAATAAATATAACTAGATCATGCATAACTGAGGTCCAATGAACTTTTTTGCAGTTAAGATTGCAAACGATATGTCAGTTGATCTTAGTAAAAGACACTCTTGGCTATTAGAACCACTTGAGTTTCCATAGAAACCAGTAAATACAAAATACTCAAGCTACAGACTTGGTGTTCAAGGGAAGTGCAGTCATGTTTGATACCAATTGAATTCCTTTATCCAGACCAATAGATCTTTTCATCCCAATTATTTCTGTCTTATGTGGATTACATTTCCGCTTGTTTGAGCTTATCCATCCCCACTCCATCTTCAGCCAGTAACCACGGCTATACAGGAGTGAGCCTCCTTGGAATTCACAGGTAGAAAAGAGAGGTGGGCATATTTTGATGGTGATACACCTCAGATGTCTTTTGTTTAATGACTGGTAAGATTAGAGCCATTTTAACATCATGTTCTGGAAATACAACCCACATTTGCAGTTACGAATGTAATTCGTTCCGCGAGTATCACTGTCCTGCGAAAAAATCGTCTTGCGAAAAGCAGCTTCCCATAGGAATGCATTGAAATGTATTCCTATGGGAACCTCGCAAGACGAATGAATGTTTTTTGTCTTGCAAGGCATCGGTCTCGGGGGGGGGGACCGTCTTGCGAAGCATGGCCATAGAAGAAGCCGTCTTGCGAGGCACCATAGCAATTGCAAAAACCAATCGTCCAGTGGGTTTTTTGTCCCGCAAGGCGTTCGTCTTGCAAGGCACCACTGTACATGGTCAGTGGTATTAAGAGCTGCTGAGAAATCCAGGAAAAAAAGAGAACTAACATTGTAAATCACACATAATGTTGAAATAGAATTCATTTCACTCTTTTCCTTGCAGCTTAAGTAGCAATATAACTGAACAATCTAATGGTAAAGTACAGCAGTTATGTTTCCTTTCAGTTAATGAATTCATTTAAATCCTGATGTAGCTCCCTTAACAAAGAGTGAAGAGTAAAGTTATTTAGAAAATAGCGTTGATTATGTGAAATATCCATGCCGTTTATATCTCGAACTTTCCTAGAAGTCATTGAAGCATGAATTGACTAGTTGGCTTTTTATTTAGATTTTCTCCAAGTTTGGGACAGTCTTGAAGATTATCACATTCACAAAGAACAATCAATTTCAGGCCTTGCTTCAATATGCTGATCCAGCAAATGCACATTACGCCAAAATGGTAAGTGCCATTTTGGACCTGATAGTATTTGAATTTGAACTTCTAACTGTTTGCTTCATATGACTTTCATTTTTCAACATCTCCCCTTGCATTCTGATGTTATATCACAGTCATATCCTAAATGGAATTTTTAGAATGTGTCAGTACAGGGATAAATTTGCTGCACATTCAGATATTAAGTTTATCTTAACACCATTTTGTCTTTCTGCAGTAGCCTTATATTTGTCTTTTTTGCACACAAAGGTTTTGCATGAGGCATGCAATTAGTTATATAGCTTGTACACGCATAGATATAAATTCTGAATACTCTTTTAACTGTTAACAGTTGTGAAAGGCTCTTCCTTTGTAACTTGAATAAAATACCTGTCATATATCTATGGGTTTGTGTGTTATAAGTGTATACAATTGACAACTGTTTAATGCTCTAATTGGGGAGAAATTGGTGATGCATGAAAACATGAACAGTACAGAGCTTACCCAAGACTACAGAAGTGGCTCTTCTTTTTCGTGGCCTCTGTGAATGCACACATATGGGTACTGTCTGCGCCTGCGCTGACTCTCTCGGAAGATTCTAGAGCTAAAAGTCACAATTTTATGGGGTGATCCTTCCCCAAGGTATATGCTCCTCCCACCCACCATCTTCCCCAGTTCCTTTTTTCCGCTGAGCTGAACGGTTCTCAGGAAAGATTGGGCGCTTTGTTATTTGCCTTTTGGCTATTTTTCTAGGCTCCTTTGAGCTTTTGTTTGTTTATCTTTACTTTAAATTACCTACTTAGTGATCCTCCGCGTCTTTTGTTTGCTTAATTGGCTTCCCACGGTCTCCTTATTCCCTTCCCTTTCCCCTCCCCCCCCAGTTCTTTGCTTATGGCCTCACCATCTCCTTTTAAAAGGTGTACAACCTGTGCGAATAAAATCGCACTTTTGGACTGTCATAGCCAGTGACTTTTTTGTTTGGGTGAGGAACATCCTACCCATTCATGTCCTACTTGTAAAAATTTAACCAAGCCGGCACTTAAACAGAGGCTCCAAAGACTCCGGTCTTACCTTTGGCAAACAGTCATGATTCCTCCTTTTACGTCTTTAGAAGCGGCTAGATCTCCTGCCCTTTCAGCTGATAGACTTCCAGCGGGCCAGTCTACCTCTGATTCTACCTCTGTGCTACCATCTAAGGACACTGTTGAGAAAGCAAAATCGTCTGGTAAGCACAAGTTGCCCTCCGCAGAGGTCTCAAGCGCACAATGCAAGCTCAAAGAAAAAGCCCAAACCTGCCCCTAAGAGGCCTAGAAAGGACAAAGTTCCCCGAGTGGAGCCCCCTCAGCCTTCTCTGCCGTCCCCCATCCTCGAGGAATCATCCAGAGGAGCCCCTGACTTGGCTTCCGATGGAGATTGAGCCCATGATGTCGCACCCCCTCCCACAATGCCGCCCCAAACCCCGAGCATTGGCCTCAACGTGGCTGCGCCACAGTCCAGCCCAGCCTCAGCCCACTCAGACCCTGACTCAGGGCGGGCAGCTGAAAGCTCGGCATCCGATCTGGAGGTTCCCCCTTCACCTCCAAGGAAGAGAAAGGAGAAACGAAAGTACCTCTCCCCATCGAGGTCTGTGCCATCGCAAGGCGATTTTTGCCCTTTTCCAATAGTGCCATACCATTTTCACCCCTTCATCTGGCAAACCCTGCACGAAAGGTACCAGCCTGAACAGGCTAAACGGTCCTGAATGACGCCGGAACTTCCCCATGCCGCCCCTTTCGTGGACTCGAATCGCCTCCGCGCGACCACTTTGGCCCCGGTGGCTTCTGCTCCGCCTGTATGCCCTCCTGCCCCATCTAAGCCAATGCCTCTAACTCGAATGCGAGACAGAGCTTATGAAGCCATGCCCCTACGTCCCGCACCATTGATGCCAGACCCAATGCCATCTCAAGGCCCCTTTGAAGGCATGCCTATCCAATGGCACCAAGCTCCCCTGACAGAGGGCTTTGGCCCTTCAGACTACCCTTCATCTCCAGGCTCCCCTGCATCTTCGGAGGCACAACACTCTGAGTCCTCCCATGAGCCTGAGCTTCCCCTCCAGTCCCAGATATGAGGGGCAGCCATGCTTCGTCCTTCTCGGATGATTTCTCCTCCTACGCTTATTTTCCAAATGGCACAAGCCCTGAATCTCGACACCGAACAGCCCTCGTCCACGGATGCCGACCCGGTGTTCGATAACATCAACCAGGAGCGCCCTGTTCCTCTGAGCCTCCCCTTTAACAAGTCCATCCTTCAACTTATTAAGGATACTTGGGGAAAACCTCCTTCTACTATGCAGATTTCTCGCCGCACTGATGGCCTCTATAGGACCCACGGGGTCGATGCCGAATTCCTCAATAAACATCCAGTGCCTAACTCTGTTATCGT